ATTATTGTTAAGGAAATGGTAAAAGGCTTTTAAAAAAATGGGTAATTTACATAAATAGTCCCTAAATTTTTTAAAATGTGACAATTTAGTCATCAATATTTTTTTTTTAACAAAACGACTCTCAATCTATTTAAAAGGCGACAATTTAATCATTTCTGTTAAATTTTGTTAAATTTTTAACATAATTAATTATGTACAAAGCATGTGATATTGTTAAAAAATGTATTTTAATAAAATACCAAGGTAAGCTTTCATTCTCTCTCTCTCATCTCTCACGCTCTCTCTCGCTCTCTCTCATTTCACTTCCATATCCACGGCCAAAAGCTTCAAAGTCATTATCGTGCACCAGTAAAATTTAGAAAGAAGCTTTATGCCTGAACATGTGTTGAACATTTGTTAAAAAAAAAAAAAAGTTCTCTCGTGTATTGTACCGTTATCTTTTGGACGGTAATTAATAGAAATAATGAGATTGTATATTTTTAAATAAGTTGAGGGTCGTTTTGTTAAAATATTAAATTAGAAACTAAATTATCACCTTTTAAAAAAATTAGAGATCATTTGTACAAATTACCCTATATATATACATACATACATACTTACATTGTATCTAATCTAACAAAACATATGCCTCCCATGTGCCTTACCTCCCCTCACCATTGTTTATATGTTCTTTAAAATTATTTTTTATCATCTTACTATGAGAGTAATTTCTTACATTTTAATTTTTTATATGTGTTTTTTAAAAATATGTTTTTTCTTATTTTACATAAAAGTAATTTCTTTTACATGAATTTTTATTTTATTTTTTAGTCAATAGTTAAAATAATTTCTTCAAATGTATAATTTTTCGTATAATTTCTATTATATCAATAATTATCTTTATCATTTTAAAAATAAATAAATAGTTATTTCTATCTAATTCTGATATATATTAAAAGAGTCAAAGCTCTTTTTTACTGTGCTCATTTGGCCATACGTAATTCTCTCTTTTCTCTACTCTTTTTTTTACATTTTTTTATTCTTTTATCTTTTTTCCAATTTAGTTCTTTTCTGTGTATTTATATATGCATAAAATCTCTTTTTTTTTCTTTTTTTTTCTATCTACCATCTACTATATATAAAAAAGACGCAAAACCTTTTTATTGTTCACTTCTCAGACGCTTTCCCTCACTGCCAAGTGACAGTCTTTTTTTTTTTTTCCTTTTTCTTTTTTTTTTTCATTTTGTTTTTCGTACTTTTTTTTTAGATGTTTTGTTCTTTTATTTTGTGAGAGTTTCTATACAGTTTTTTTTTTTTTCTTTTTTACACTGTGTTCGTTAAAAGATTTGTTTTTCCTAACTTTGCCCTTATGAAAATAATTTCTTTTATGTGTTTCTATATAATTTTTTGGAAAATTTAATATTGGTACTTTCATATGTGTTTCTATATATTTTTTTGGAAAAGTTTAATATTAATATCCTGGATTTTAGCAAATCGTCTTTCTATCTCATATTTTGATAATTTTGAATTAGTACTCTGATATTTTGATAAATTATTTTTTAGTACTTTGAGATTCATTTTTTAGATGTCAAATTTACTCTTTTCATCAATTATTCAAAAAACTAATAATTCTTCGGTTAGATCTGTGTTGTTATTTGGAACTTGTTGCAGGTAGAGATTTGGCTTGTTCTTTTGGAGTTTAACTTGAGTATAATTCTTAAGTTGAATTTGAGTTATAATTTGAATTGAACTTGTAACTTAAGTTTGTGTTTGGTTGTGTACATTTGAGTTATGGTTTGAGATAAAAATCTTTTTGAGTTTGTGTTTGAGTGAGTCAAAACTTGAAATTGTATTTAGATAGTATTTTAATAAAAACTCAATACTGATGAAAAATTTTAATATGGTATATGGGTCGGGTTTTATTCGTCTTTTCGTTGTCAACGCATAGAAAAAAAATCATCTCAATCAGAATTAAAACGAAAAAGTTATAGTATTTTTAAGAATAGAAAAAATATTGTTCATTCATTTGAGTTCGAGTTTCTGAACTCGAGTTGAATGGGAAACTTGAACTCGAGTTTTAGTCCTAAACTCGAGTTTGAACTCGTGTTTAAACTCAAGTTTAAATTTAAAAGAACATGAACTCGAATAAAGTTGTAACTCAAGTTACATTTTTTTGAGTTTTTCACTAAAAAAAAACAAGCTCTTGGTTTCTCAGATCTGGTGTTAGAACTATTGAGAGCTCATAGAAGTTGTACAGTATTTTTCTTCCTTCCATAAGTTAGTTATTCTCTTCAATTGATTGTTAGTAATGTGATTCCTTTTTTGCACAGTTACGTCTCTAATTTTGCCGCATGTATATACTGATGATATCCCCCGCATGTGAGCATTTTACCCATCAATGAAACAACTCAGTGAAATGAGCATTTTTTTACCTTTGTCTTCTCTTTACCCTAACCTTCTTCTGCAGATCCAATTTCTAGGAAGTTTTGGAAAGAGAGTAGGGGAGAGTTTTTTATTTTAAGTTTTTAATTTTTTTTTAATTTTCAAACTTTTAACATAATTTTCAGAATTTTTTCTTAAATTTATTAGGTCTTGTTTGATTCGCCGTTAGTTAGAATTGTGTGATTTGATTTGAATTATGATGATTTAAATTACGATTCGAACCGGTATTTAGATTTGTAAATAAATTGTTATTTAAATTGAGAATAAAATTCGAAACTATTTTTGAATAAAGTGTTAAAAACTGACATTAGAGTTTCATAACAAATCTTATAAAACCTTATTGTAAATGACATTAAAAAAAAAATGTAATGTCAATGGGAATTTGTTCCTCTCATCATTATGAACATGGTTGAAAAAAATCATCCCAATCAGAATTAAAACGAATAATTTATAACATTTTTATGCTTAAAGTTGAGGAGAGAGAAAAAGTAAAATCTAAATTGTTTTTACCATAAAAAACAATTCGGAATGTTAGAATTTAGGAGGGTCTAAATTCTAAAATCAAATGTTCGAACTATTATTAATGATTTGAATTGTCCATATTTAGTTTTCTCCCAAACATCAATTTGAATTTTAAATTTGAATTAAATTGTTTGGTCGAGTTGTTGAAACAAACATGGCATTAGTTTTTTGGTTATTTAATGATAATGGTAAATTTCACATTTTACGTTCTAACAAAAGGTATTAAAAAATGATTTATCAAACGGTCAGGGTAATAATTTAAAATGATCAAAAACACGAGGTATTAAAAGACGATTATGCTAAAATATATGATCTAATATGAAAATTTTCCTAATTTTTTATTTCTTTTAATTTTTGTCAATGACAAATAATTTTCTTCAAATGTGTCCATACTTAATTGCTTTCTATGCCTCCATTTGATTCACTGGTTTGAACTTTATTGATTTGAACTTTTTTGTTTGAACAGAAAAATTCAAACGATGTGGTTTAAATTGTAGTTCGAAATGTTGTTTAGATGTGTAGTTAAAATTTAATCTAAGTAGGGAATAAAATTTGAATTTGTGTTTGCTAGGCGTAAAAAAGAAGAGAGAGTGAGCACCTTTATTCAAAAATTGTTTGAATGATTAAACTTGAGGAGAGAACTAAACTCTAAATTAGACAGTTTAATTCAGTTCAAATAGAGAATTAAATTCAGATTGCATGTTTATTAAACGCGGGTTCAAATTATACCCACTGTTCAAATTGAGCTAAACTGGCATTCATTTATTTCACCGATTCGAGTTTTACTATAGTAAAAATCTCTAAAAAATAGTCACATTTAATTTTTTTATTACAGTAAAAATTTTTTACATAAAATTATATCTGTACTTAAATTTAAAATTCGAATCAACAAACTAAACAGTTATGAGTTAAATTAGTAAAATAAACGGCGCCTCTTTGCATTTCGTTGTTTCCAGCAACGGGAGGGTGAAAGAGGGGGAAAAAAAGTTCGCTGTCAGTTCATTGTCGTTTTTGTTTTTGCCGTCATTTATTAATGCTGTCGTTTAGTTCGTTGTCGTTGTTTATTTGAAAAACAAAAATCAGATCTCCCGTTATATTTGAATTTGGAAAAGAAAAATTTAAGGAAATTTCCCCTCTTAATCGGTTTTCTATTTTTATTTGATGCAATAAAATTTAAAATTTCTATTACTTTTTATTAATGGACAAGAAATATGTAAAAAATAACGGAAAATAATATGTCAAGAATGGGATTCGAACCCATGCCCTTTCGGACCAGTACCTGAAACTGGCGCCTTAGACCAACTCGGCCATCTTGACCTCATGATCCTTTCTTGGATACTGAATATTATTACTCTAAACATTAGTTTTAATTTCTCCTTAAACCTCTCTTTTTCCACTTTGCTTTCATACTTGAAAATAGATGAAACATCTCTTGATTCTCTTCAATCACCACTTCCAATCCAGAATCTCCCCCAAGTTCGCATCTTTTCTTGCTGTTATCCAAAACCAATCAAAACTTTCCCATGAAAATTACTGAACCTATACGGCTTTTCAATAATCAAGCAAAATCAGGGGTGTTTAAGATCAGGAACACAAGAATCTTAGAACTTTTGTCCTGATTTTGGGGTTACAACCAGAACTCATTATATATGCATTTATGGTAAACATTACTTAACCTGCTGAATTTCATGTTCATCAACATCATGATGTTTCCCTCAAGTAGAAATGACATTCATCCAAACTTTTTTTTTTTTGGTTCTTTCTTTCGTTTTAAACCGGTTTCTTCACAATAATGAAAGAATATGATTAATTTGTTAAACACTTTTTGTTAAAGAATCATTTCATCAGATGGACATGTAACAAAAAGTGTTTGCAACGTAAATCACCCTTGCTAGTTGGGAAAGAAAATGTAGTACAGTAACAATTGGTAACCTCTCAATCCTTTATTGTAGACACGATCAATAAAAAAGGAAGAGTGCCATAACATTCCTATAGGACCATATTATATATTCTGTAAGGTTACAAAAACAATCTGCAGTGTCACAAGCTTAGCTTGATATATTTTTTACATGCACCTACAATTTTGAGGAGCTGTATTCTAATCCCTCCACAAATGAGAAAAACAAAAATGCTTAATCATTATAAAAAGGGGCTGCTCAAGTTTCAGATGGAACATCTACATTGTCTGTCATAAGTTTCCCTATTGCCTCACCTTGCTTCCAGTCCGTTTCAAATGACGACGTCAATATATTTTTCTCACGACTTGACCAAGAGTAACCCCACTGTTCAACTTGATTGGGTTGAACCCCAACTGTTCACAAAGGACGGGCCTCACCTCGTGAGAACCACGCGTGGTCCCACCCTTTCTAAGAGGCTCGGGACTCAACCCCGTCTGGGCGAATTGCATTTTTCTTTAACTCATGATCTAGAGGGGAAGAAAGCTAAACTGGACTCCTCCAAAGTAACCTTGTCTTCAAGAAAAAAAAAACAAGTCTCTGCAAATGCCTCTGCTGCTTTTCTAAGTACTTCTGATATATCCACAAATTTGTAGCAAAGAAGCACAATTGGCAGTCTGCAAAGGATGAAAAGTTAGAGCATTTTCTCCTTCCAATCGCATCCATTGGAGTGAGAATTATGGGGGGTACCTTGCCCAGATATGGTTGCAAAAGAAAATGACCATACCTCAAAGAGCTAATTGATGCGGTCGGCAATCTAATACCAGTCTTCATCTCAACCTCTTCCACCTGCATGTCAAAGATATATATATTCATAAATATCAAATTAAGAAGTAACAGAAGTACATCTCAACCTCTTTCAGCTGCATGTCAAAGATATATATATATTCATAAATATCGAATTAAGAAGTAACAGAAGTACATTATGGAGGAAGAGAGGAAAGGCGGACAAGAAGTACCTCGAGGATTTTTGTAACAAGCGTTCTGATGTAGCTAGGGCCCCCAAAGGTCTTATAGCGAACAGCTTTCTACTGTAGTTTTCCAGCATCGTTGGGACTACTGCACCCACAAGATGTGTATTCCTTTTTCTTTAGGTTCTTGAATAATCAAAACTTAAACCATCATCGCAGAATATGAGAAGACCCGATTGAAAGCCTTTTCCTAAGCAACTTCTTATCTCTAATTCCATCATATAGAAGTTCATAAGTATAATAAGTTATATGACTCTTCTTTAACAGATCTTCCACTACAATCTTCGGTGCTGCTATCTCCTTCTTGTCAGCCTCAAAGATTGTATCTACCACCTCAGGAACAATTCCTTTGAGCACCATAAGGTGGATGATGCTGACGGCCTCACGAATTCTATGTTTCAGACAAAGACAATTGAGTACCCTTCCAAATGTCGTTAGTGATGGAATGAACCCTTTTTCAACTTTTTCCAGAAGAAAACCATATCCAGAGTCAGTATTCCCTACTTTGCAGAAACCATCGATCATGACTCGGTAAGTGTAACTGTCTGGAAAATTGCCTTTGTCATCCATCTCACAAAATAGCTTTTGTGCCATGCTCATGTTCATCTTTTCAGCAAAAGCATTGATCATTATATTGTATGTTGCAGTTGTATGAGAAACCTTAAACTCTTGTTCAGCTCTTCTGAATAACTTGTACGCTCCACCCAGATCCCCATTATTGAATAACCCATCAATCAACGTACCAAAGCAAATAATGTCTAGAGTCAGGCCCTTCTGTTGTATTTCCTCAAGCAAGTCTGTGGCTTCATTTACTTTCCGAGCCTTGCAGAGGCTTTCTACAAGTATATTATATGTAATGATGTTAGGCGAGCAGCCTTTTCCCATGATTTCTCTAAAAGTCTCCATCACATCGTCGTACCTTTTAGCCTTGCATAGGCCATTCAACATGGTGTTAAATGTGATCACATCAGGTGCAACACCATGATCCCACATGCTATTTAGGATTTCAATGGCATTATTCAAGTTCAACTGTTTACAGTAACCATCAATCAATGTGTTAAAGGTAAATATGTCAGGAAGGCAGCCTCTGGAAATAGCTTCATTCATGAGATTACCAGCGTCGGATACGCACCCTATCTTGCACAACCCGTTTATAACTAAATTGCACGTCCATATGTCAGGGAAACAAACATTTTCTGACATCGTAATCATCAACTGCAAGGCTTGAAAGATAAGACCATGCTGCGACAACCCTTTGACCATGGTATTGTAAAGAACAACACTTGGCTTTAATCCCTTTCCCAATGCTTCATCAAATACGGCCATGGCACGATCTACATCACTATCCTGCCATAACCCATTAATTAAGGAGCAATATGTGAACTCATCAGGCACAAAACCCTTATAAGTTGCATCTTTCAAAATATTATCTGCATTTTGAATCTTACCCTGTTTGCAATATCCATCAATAATACTGTTATAGGTAAATCCATCAGGTTCAAACCCACCATTCACCATTCTACGTAGATAGCACTCCGCTTCGTCAACCTTTGAATTCTTACACAAACCACAGATCAACGTGTTATATGTGACGATATCGGGAGTCAGACCTTCCCTCTTAATACCACCGAACAACCTGACGGCCTCATCAAGCGAACCGTTTCTACAAAGTCCCTGAATGAAAATATTGAACGTAAACAAATTTGGAGACACCCCCCTCTTCAGAACCTTGTTTAAAAGCTTTCCAATTTCTCGTATGTCCCCCTTCTTAGCAAGCGTATGCACAAGCTTATTAAACGTAGTAACATCGGGACAAATACCTCTTCCGAGCATCTCTTCAAACAATTCACACGCCTCAGCACGATCATTCTGTTCGTAAAACCCACCAATGACCGTACAATACACAACCGCATTGAACCCGCACCCTTGGGAAGGCATGTTATTGAGAAGCCTCAAAGCAGCATGAGGCCTACTAGTCCTACAAAAAGACTTGATCCTTATAGCATAAGTATAAACATCCGGTTCAATCTTTTTACCTCTCATCCTCACATACACTTTATGCGCTTGATCAAAATATCCATACTCAACCAACAAATTCATGATCGCGTTATACGACTGGACCGAAGGCTCGCAATCGTAAAAATCCATCCTCTCGAAAACATCCACAGCTTCTTGAACCTTACCCATCTTTCCATAGCTTCTAATGGCACTAACGTACACTCCCTCTAGTAAACTATTATCAACATTCACCCTAATCTCGGAGAGCAAATTCTCCATGGCTTCAAACTCGCCATGGAAGCCAAGCTTTTCAACCATGGATTTGTAAGTAAGTAAATTGTGCCTAAACCCATCTTCCTTTTTCACCGAATTGAACATTTCAAGCGCTTTAAGTGGATCCTTTTGGTACTTTATCACAGCAACAACATGTTTAGCGTGTAAAGGAGGTCTCATAATGAAAATTCCTTTGTTCTAGTTACAATTAACTCCACAATTCGCAAGAAAAAATTTCAAATTGGAAAGCTTTAGTTAAAGAAAATGTTCTTATTCGGATTTAGGATCATTCGAGAGAGAAAACCCTACCTCAGAAATTTCAATATCTCTGAAATTTCTCGTCGCTCCAAAAAGCTTCGCTACAGAAATTGGCCTTCTACTCAGTGGGAAGCTCGCTTGTAAAGCCAATGAAAGAAAGCTTTGGTATTGCTTCCATGAAGAGAGAGTGTTCGGGGATAGGTTGAAGAAATTTTGAGGGCCAAAATGTAATTTTTATTAACTAAGGGGTTAATGTATAATTTAAGAACAATTCCTCAAATTTTTATTTTTAAAAGTCACGTGCGCTTCGTGAGGGTAATTCATCTAAGTCAAGGGCTATACAAATTGCTGACAAAAAAAGGAAATAAAAGAATAAAAAAAATAAAGACAAAAAAAAAAAAATCTCAAGCAAAAGATAAGAAAAAAGACCAAAAAAATTAAGAAAAAACTTTTCACTACTGAAACTATAATTTATGAGGATAACAAATAAAAATGTTTATATAAAGACACATTTGAGAATAAAGTAATTTAGTAGGGAATTAGAAAAATATAATATTTTACATAATTGTAAAAAAATATTTAAAAGAGTTATATTTGAAAATATATAAAAATTAAGGTTAAAATATGTAATAAAAAAAATAAAGGAGGAAAAAGAAGAAAAGAAATCTATACATACTTAAAAAGAGACAAGAAGTTTACTTCTAAAATAGTCATGTGTTGGCCTCTATGTGGCCTCCACTTTTTTTTTAATTCTCTCTATTTTTCTCTCTTATTTCCTTCGTCTCTTTATAAAAAAGATCTTATGTTTATAATTATGACTTATTAAAACACAATTACCTAATTTAAAACGTGCATTTTGATCCTTTTATTTTTTTGTCCAATTTAAATCTTGTAATTTCTAATTGTGCCTTATTAAATTTTACCTCCTAATATACTCTCATTTAAATGATTTTAAATATGTGCTTGCCTAAATAATTTTTTTATTGTTAATATTTATTTTTTCTAAATGTATGTATCTAAAAAATACTACGCGTGTGTTTCAACTAGTCTATATCTATATATACTTAAAAGAGCTAAGAAGTTGGCATGTATTGGCCTCTATGGAGGCCACATGAGGCCATTGGCCTCCACTTTTTCTTTTTTTTTCTTTTTTCCAATTCTTTATATTTTTCTCTCTTTTTTCATTTTTAGACTTTTTTTTTTATATTTTTCTTTTCTTTTTTTTTTTCCTACCTATTGCCTTTTTCTTTCCCCATTATTGCCTACCTATTGCCTTTAGCAATAAATTTTTTAAAATTTCAATCAGTCTTAGTAAATGAGTTTTTAAATAGGGACGGACGCAATATAGGATAGAGAATTTTTCGTTTGTTTCTTTATAAAAAGATCTTATGTTTATAACCACGACTTATTGAAACATATTTGTCTAATTTTAAAAGTGCATTTTGATTCTTTTTACTTTTTTGTTCAATTTAAATCTTGTATTTTCTAATTGTGTTTTATTAAATTTTACCTCATAATATGCTCTCATTTAAATAATTTTAAATATGTACTTGCCTAAATATTTTTTTATTGTTAATATTTTTTTTTTCTAAATGTATGTGTCTAAAAAATATAACATACTCAGACTCACGTGCTACGCACGTGTTTCAACTAGTAAACTAAAAAAAAGGCAACAAAACGTGACGTGGGGTGTAACGAAACACAAAACGCCCCCGGAAAAACTTAGTAGACATTCAGTTCACGAATTCAGAACCATGATTCAGAAACATTCTCAGTTTACGTGTGTTTTTTGTGAGAGAAAATATTGTAGCGAGTCACGAATTATGATTCAAACTATGACACGAATTCTCATACCAAACACCTTCTTAATGGCAAAGATTGGATAGATATTCCTTTTTGTTGAACAAATTTTTAATGGCAAAGATTCTAACTAACTCACACAAACATCTGAATTTCAAGTAATTAATAATATTTTAAAATTCATATGCTACAAATATTTTAATATAAATATTTTTTTACTTCAAAATTTATAATCTTTGTTCTTTGTTCTTTTTCTTTTTTATTGACAAACAACTCTTATAGTTTTTTTTCTATCTCTTGTAGTTTTTATTGACAAAAATTTCTAGTTTTTAATTCTCCTCCCAATAATTGTTCAATTAAAAATCATTTCTGAAATACTCATATTATTCTATCATTTATGGTTTTTATTATTCAAAACAATTCTTATTGTGTTGAGATTTTTTTTATAGGTGTTGTGTTAAGATAGAGGATAAATTGCACGAATGGTCCCCAAACTTTTTAAAAGGTGACAGTTTAGTCCCTAAATTTTGTTTTGACGAAACAAACTCCAAACTATTTAAAAGGGTGCAATATAGTCATTTTCGTTAAATGTCATCTAAAAAGTAATGACATAGTGTACGTGAGATATCACGTGGCCCATATTTTTAGGGTATATGTGTAAAAGCACATGTTGGGAGATTTATGGCAGATTTTATCGCGCGCTCTCTCTCCCTCTCTCTCTTTATCCCAGCAAATACTACTTCATAATCTGCGGGCAGCGCTTGGTTCTCGAGGCTGATTCATCGATTCAGACCATAATGTATAAATTGCAGTCGAATTTATCTATGAATTTTCTCTTCGATTGCTAAGAACATGAAAAATTGAAGTGGAGCATATGGAATGTTTTGAACTTTATTGAGTTTGTTGTTTAACGTTCCCGGTAGGGCAAATATTATGAGAGTATTTGCTTCATTAGTGAATTCCTATATGTGTTTTATCCTTAATTTTGGGTTGTTTTCGATCAACACCAACAAGCTCTTACTTTCACAGCCTTTTCTTCTTCGATTACTGACCTTCTTAATGGTGGGCCGGAAATGTGGCCATGAGAGGTGTGGATTCCATTTCCTTACCTCATTCTCTCCAACTCTGAAACTCAACAACTGACGAAGACAACGACAGTAACAACAACACAACTCTGATGAATAGCAGCCCCAGAGACGATGACAACACCCACGACGGTGACGAGAGCCTTGACCCGGGAAGAAGCGGCGGCGGTGTAGGAGGATCCGGGAGCAGTGGCAGAATGAGGCTGCGTGGCAGGCCACCGGAGTCGAAGAACAAGCCGAATCCGCCGATAGTGATAATGAAGGAGAGCCCCAACGCGCTGCAGAGCCACGAGCTGGAGATTATCGAACCTTTTTTTTTGGTGGGGTGGAAATGTTGAAAATTCAACACCCCAACACGACGAGAACAAAGTGCATGGTTGTTTATGTTTTCATTTTTATTTTTCACATTTTTCAAGACTAAAACATGAAAATGCAAATTAAAAATGTGTTTGGCTTAAAAGCTTTTGAAAAACAAAAACAAAAATGTTTTTGTCTTTTCTGAAAAAGTGAAAATGAAAAAAAATCTGTTTTCATTTTCTGAAATTTTCTGAAAACGGATCTTTTTTTTTTCTTCTCTCTCTTCTCC